TACAAGTCCGATAAATTTAATCATAACGCGACATTAAACTTACAATTGAGTCGAATTATAATATAAATTATTCTTTATATGTACATACCAACAAGGAATTAACTAATAAGTATGTGATCAGGTAAGAACTGCAATCGCTGCATTACAACGTAAATATATCCGTAATTGTAAAACTAATGTTTACAGTAGAATCTACTGAAGGGCTGAAATGATTGGTTCGTTATTTCCTACAATTGTAAGGGTATATATTTTCGAAACTTACTTATTCATTTCCAACAGAAACAACTTTATCGTTTGAGTTAATATAAAACAATAAATTTGTAATTGGCTATTTTGGGCCGTTCAGTTGTTTGGCTATTTCAGTTCTTTGCTAAAATTGATATATTTTGTTATTTGGAAAAACCGCATAAACTATATTTAGTATTATGTGTTGATGGAGAGTTGGCACTCGAGACGCCTTAGGCTAAAAGGACTCGGTAATTGTATAAATTAGAGATTCCTCACGGATTTTGAGAACCTTGAAATATGTTGATAAGATCACATTCGAAACAACTTTTATTCGTACATGCTACCACTGCTCGACCTTAGTTTCCGAAATACAATATTAATTATCATACATACATGTATCATATACATATTAATATTATGCATTTTTTAGGGGCAGAGTTAATTTTAAATTAAATTGAGATTAGATTTGATTTGCATTTCAATTTGGTAATAAATAAAAATAAGAACAAGTTATAATTACTATATTTATTAATATCAGGTTCCTGTTCGCCTCATGACAGCTAAATTAAATGCACTAATCTAAATCTAATAGAACTGCGGCGTATAAAATGCGATATTTAATGTTAAATATATCTTTGCGTATATTTCTGAAATTAAGCCCTAGTAATGAATGACTTGGTTGAATGAATTGGTTATCTGAATAAAGGGAAGTTGTTTAGAACAATGTTTTTAACAACACATTTTGAGATCATTTAAATAGGTGAGAAGGCAAAATTTCTACATTTTTTACGAATCGTCTATTCGTCCTTGTTATTGGTCGAATCGTGAGCTAAGGTGGAGCATATGGCCGATTCCCCTTGCCCCTGTGCACTTTCACATCTATTTTCGCTGCTACAAACGTGAAAGCTGCACTGTATTGACAAATAGGACATTATATAGATGTAGAGATCCCTTTCACTCTGACCAATTATGTCCGTATTTCTTCCAAATGCCAATTCTTCATTAACCTGTTGTATATACTCTGGCAATACACATTTTGCAATTTTGGTTGATGCATTTCTTCAATTTTTGATGTCCGTAACACCAAATTATATTAATATTTCTAATATGATCTTCTTTACGAAAATGTAAATACTTTAATGAATAAGAGCTTTCGTTCGGATTGTTTTCTTTTTATGCATGTGAACTGTAGTGGATTTGGCTTAATAATCGGATGCAAAAGGAATTACTAACGTGAAAAAAATTATTAATCGACTCTTTGAAAACTTCGCTTACTTTGTTCTTTTTACAGTAGAAATGACAATCATGATTCAACTATTTCATTTACAATTTTTCACCACTAAGGTTAAGTACATTGTAATACGAGTGATCGGGGAACCTGTCCAATTCGATATAATCAGTTTCGTCGAGTAGAAGACCTTCCGTCAAACCAACTAATTCCCCAAAGGATGGCCTGCAAGCTGGATCTTTGTCCCAACAGTAATACATTATGTTATACAGTTCTCTCTTACAATGTTCTGGCCTATCTAGCCTATAACCTTCTTTAATTCTCCTCATCACCTGCAACAGACATTTAATCTATTAGCTCGGTGCATATAAAATATCAGATCTTTTTGAAGAAAGGAAAACTTATTAGATGTTCTAAAAGAAAGTTATTCAATCAAAATATGCTCCAATTGATTCGATAGACTTCTACCAACGTGTTTTTAATGAATATGTTTCGGATTTACTATGCGGCCCATTTTGCAAAGAAATATCATCGGATCGAAATTTTGCAGACCGAAGTTGCACTGTTCTTTAATTCGTAGTATTGTCCACAAATACTTTGTTTATATTGAGTGGTTTTTGCTTATTTTGAAACAATGCTTATTTCCAAGTTTGAATTCATAACAGAAAGTTACACGAAATTTGATACTTTTTTAATGAAATAGATACGTATTATATATATTTATAAACTTAGTTTTAACAAAGTTACACTAACACTGTTAATAATTTTATTATATGTATGAATTCTATTATTTCTTACAATTATGTCATTTATCATCCTAAAATTTGAATTAATTTAATATTATTTCTTAATTGATTAACGAAAGAAAGTAAATATACCTCCGCAGCTGCTAAGCCAGGGTAAGGCGTGGAGCCTAAGGTCACGATTTCCCAAATCAATACACCGAAACTCCATATATCCGATTTCACGGAAAATATGTTATCGTATAAGCTTTCTGGCGCCATCCATCTAATGGGCAGTCTGCCCTCGGACTTCCTTTCATAGATTTGATTGGCAGCCACATCCCGAGCAAATCCGAAATCCGCGACTTTGCATGCTCGATTTTCATCAATCAAAATGTTCCTCGCAGCTAAATCTCTGTGTATAATTCCTTTGGACGCCAAATATTCCATACCTTTGGCAATCTGTAAAAGACGGGTTGCTATGGTTAAAAATCGATCATTACAAAATGTACATATAAAATATGCCTTTTAAGAATCCTAAAAACAAAAAAATTAGCATAGTTTTTACCGTTTTTACCGTAATTTAATAAAGTCGATTAAA